AAGTAATAGATACAGTCCAGAGTCTTGTCTCTCTGTGAGTCTAGTCATGCTTTCGCGCAGTCTGCGATCATGCCTTTTTTCGTGGAGTCGATACGTATCGATCGCATGTGCGATCGATACGTACCCTCGACAACCGCTCACATGGAAGATACGTAACTTCTCTATACCTGAACTGCAAACCGAACTGCAGAATTATGTCCTGCCTACTTATACGGTTTTTTATGGTAATAAACGGAAACGTGTATTGGAAGGTGCCCACGCGTGTGTCATGTGCTTACGGTGAGCCTGCGCAGGACTGCAAAAGCTGTCCTGCATGATGTCCAATTAATTAGTTAGTTGAGATGACGTCCAGTTAACTTTCAAGTACCTATTTTGAAAAACTTTCTGAATGGAACACAGTATACGTGAGAAGGACACCGCAGTTGTGATGCGTTCTGAGTGTTGGTTCCTTTGTGTTGTGGTAAATTGCTTGAATGTATTGACGTCTTATGCGTCATCAATTTCTCATTACAGGAAGCGCACGCATGAGAATCAGTGGTGGGAGCTGTTTGACTCGAAGACAGGTCGCTATTACTACTACAACGCTTCATCAATGAAGACGATCTGGCAACGACCGATGGGACCCGAGATTGACATCATCCCTCTTGCCAAATTGCAGACCTTGAAAGAGAATACAGAAAGCTCAGAGCATGCACGGGTGAGCTCATTCGTGACTCTCTTCACTTTGAGCTTTTTTGACGTTACAACTGAGTTTGATTTGAAAGTTCAGGTGCGACGAACTTGTGAAACTCAAACGTCGCCGGCCATTCGTCGAGTAGTCGGTGGATCTCGACGCGTGATTGCCCAAAATATTGGGCCTGAGGCGGGTGTTATCATGACTAGGACTGCGAGTCGGTCTTCGAATGGCACTATGAATGGCATGCAGCAATCCTTCGATGTTAGTCATCATCAGCAGTTTGCTATCAACAGCACTTTTCCTTTCTGCAAGCGTGCAATATTTGCTGCGCTCCTCAAATAGGCTATTCCGCTATCTGATGTTGTATCTGATTATTTTTATTCAGTGGATGTCACTTGATGATCAAAGCGATAGCCTCTCAATTGGAGACCGAGGTGATTACCGTGACTATAACCGGGATTTCGGACGATCACCGCGTCAGTTTCCTCCGTTTCCTACAATGGGAACGACGTCAACTATGTCAACTGCTCCTTCTGCGGATTCTATTCCACCGCGGTCGTCAAGGTGACTTCAAGCTCAACTTGTTTGTTTTCCTTATACCCGCTTCTGCTTCCAGCAAGTAACTGCTCTTTTTCGTTCAGGTCCTCAAGTCCGCCAAACCAAAAACGACAGTTGTTCCCTACGAATACGGGTCCAAAAAAGCCCACGAACGCCGGTGGTATGTAGATGAAACTATGTTTCCATTATAAACTTATACCAATGACCACTGTTGGCTAAGTAATCTCATACATTACCAGGTTGGGCCAAAGAAGCACCTAAGCAACCTTTGTCAGCGCCAGACAACAAGCAGCTTAAGAAAGAGTCGCCAGCGATTTTCAAGCTTATTCAAGGATATATGGGAGATAGGAAAAGCAAGACACCAATCGATCAGGTTGGTTCCGTTGCTCCGCATAAGGCTTTTTTCTTTTATTCCCCTTTTGCAATAAATTTCAATGAATTTCTGTTTGCTTTTGGTTCATTGTTCTGCTTTAAGCAAGCCTTAACCTTGTGCGAGCTTGGACTTTCAAAGCAGGAGTGTGCAGATGAGGCCGTAGCTCAACTCATGCAGCAGCTTACCGACAATGAGCGCCCTGATAGTGTTCGGTGAGAAAATTGGTTTTTAATCTCTTAGTTCGAAATTTTTTATTGATGTTGAACACCAACGTGTGAAATAAGTTTCACCTCATAGAATTGTTTGTTTAGACGCGGATGGGAGCTGTTGGCGATACTTCTAAACTTTGTCACTCCTTCTGAAAAGCAAACTGCGTCTCTGGCAGAATTCATTGATAGGAACTCTGAGAAAATTTTCGATAGACCTGAAGTGGGTTTTCAAATTTTGAATGCTTAGATGGCTATCATATCGTTTTGTTGTTTTTTTTTATTCTCAGTGGCAATTTCTTGATTATATTTGGTCCCACATGAGTGAACATGTGCCGGTGGCAGGAGGGGCGTGAGTCGACGTGGGCGGGGTGTGCCACGAAATTTGCAATTCAGTTCCGACGCATACGGAGATCGGGAAAAAGTGCTCAGGTGCTGGTGAAGGGGTTAAGGGCAATTGCTCTGGTGGGTGAGCGTGTGTTGAGGTAGGCGGGGTTTCCCAAAGCTCACAATTCTTCCCGGGACCGCTCAAAAACGGGCGAAAGTGTATAGAGGCGGTCGTGGTCTCTAACGGTAAAGGAGTTCTCACGGCGGAGCGGGAATTAAAATAGCAGCACTTGGTTATCCCTGTGTGGTCGGCTGTTGTGCCGAGCCCCTGCAGGGGCGCAAGTCAGCGTGCGGAGTACGTTGGAGCACCTGAGCTTTTTTACCTTTATGAGTAAAAATGAGGTGAATGATACGTCTCAAGAACGATCATTCACCGACGAGTATTTATAGTTCAGTAGGAATGATTCTTCAAGCTTTTCAAGATTGAACTTTATTTTATTAGGCTTACGTTTCGGCTTCTTCGCCTTCGTCAGAGCCTGAAATGGTCAAAGGCATGTGTAAGTTGTACGCTCTAATTCAATCCTTCCCCCAGGGGGATATATCCCCCTCCTCTGATTCAATCCTCTGGGGGGACAAAAAAGGGTTGCGTCATAGGACCTAGCATACCTCTGTGTTTCTACCTGCCAGACAGTTAGAGCAGCGCGACCCCTCAGGGAAAAGAGTGCTTCATCAGTGGAGGGTAGTCGCGCTGCTCTAACTGTCTGGCAGGTAGAAACACAGAGGTATGCTAGGTCCTATGACGCAACCCTTTTTTGTCCCCCCAGAGGATTGAATCAGAGT